CTAGGTATGTCTTTCTTTTCCCTCTATTTACTGTTTCCGTTTTCCTAAGCATATCCTGAGGTATAATATTATACAGCTCATTATAATACTCTTTAAATATTCTAGCAATATCCTTGGTTGCGTGTACAAATTCCCCCTTGGGATTTCTTATTTTCTCGATATATCTTATTTTCTATTTTTCTTCTTTCTTAAAGTTCTCATTAAATACTTTCCCGGCCTGTCTCCCCATCTATACCTTTCACTTGTTATTTTATTAAAGACTCTTCTTTTTTCCTCCTCCATTACATTCTCTAATTCTTCTTTCTTCTTTATTAACATCTGCATTGTCTCCTTAGATCTTTCCCTTTTATGCACCTGTTCAAGATCATATATTTCATTTAGTAATCTATTTATCTTTTCTCTCCTTTCTTTTTTCTCTGATGTAAACTTTATGTGCTTCCCACACCGTTGCAACCGACACATCCTCTGTTTCATTCTCTTTAAAAAACCATTCAATTTCCTTCTCAATTCTTTGACCAATCTCTTCCTCCATGAGGAGTGCCTCATTCAACCGCCATACATAACCTTCTTTCCCTTCCCTTCCCCATCTTAACTTCATTGCAACTGGGGCATGATCCGACAGGACTTCCTTCACTTCCTTCAATTTTTACTTCTGCCACCAACTCTATCATTCGATGTTCTACTAATATGTAATCTAGTCTAGAATAAGTCTCATGAACGTGCGAAAAGAAAGTATAATCTCTCTCCCTCATGTTCCTGATTCTCCAGATGTCCACCAACTGACATTCATGCATTAATTTCTTTAACATTCTCAAGGATTTGCTTTCCTCCCTCCTCACAGAGGAAGTGGTGTCTATCCGCGGATCCATACAGATGTTAAAGTCTCCCGCCACTATCATATACCCACTTTTAAAATCCATCAATCTCTTCAACACTTCTCATCAAAACCTCTCCGGCCTCTTATTTGGACTGTATATGTTTGCTATTGTACACTCAATTCCCAGTAATTTTCCTCTCAAGAATAGATACCTTCCCTCCAGATCCGTCAATCTCTCCTCCACCTCAAACCTTATATTCTTTGCGAAGCCTATAGCAACTCCTTTTGCTCTTTTAGTTGGTGAATCCGCATAGAACCATGTTGGAAAATATCTAGTCAATCTAACCTTCGACTCTATCTCCAGGTGTGTTTCCTGCAAGAATACCACTGAGGCTTTTCTATGTTGGAGTTCTTTAAATAACCTGAATCTCTTTCCTGGACAGCTTAACCCTCTTACATTGTAGGTTATATATTGGATTTCTTCCATCTTACTCTTTTTCCTACCTTCTCTCTCTTCCTCCTTCCCTTCCTCTTTCTTGTTCTATAGAGCGTTTTTATCCTACTACCCTTTTCCCTCCCCCTATCCCCCCCTCCCTCCCCCCCCCCCCACAGTACTCCCCCCCCCTTTTCCCCCCCCCCTCTCTTAATGCACCCCTCGATCCCTTTCCTTTCCCTCCCCTCCCCCCTCCTCCCTCCCCCCATCTCCTCCCCCCTCTTTTTAGGCCTTCCCTTTGCCTAACCGTCATTTGTGGAGATAACGTCCACCTTTGACTTAATCCTTAGGGCTTCACTCCTCCCTTGGACGGCCTCCCCTCCTTCCGGATCCCCCCCTTGAACTTCTCTCTACCTGTACTTTCTAAAGAAGAAAAAAAAGAGAAAAAGAAAAAGGGGCCAGGCTGGAGGAACTAGGGAGAGAAAGAAGCGATGGAATGGGAGCAAGGCAAGAGAAAAAAAAAAAAACAATTCTCTCCTCTTCACTCACCCCCCCCCCCCCCCTCCTCCCCTCCCCCACCCTCCTCCAACCCTCCCCTCTCCCTGATCCACCTCCCCCATATTCTCCTTCCCAGCCATTTATTTCAATTTTCTGCATTTCCAGTCTATCACAAAAATTTCTCAAGTCCTCTGGGAACCTCAAATGTGCTGTTATTCCATTTTTCCATCCTATTAAAGTCTCTGGAACTCCCCATCTATATTGCACCTTCTGTTTTTTCATCTGCTCCAGCAAAGCCTCAGAGTTCTCCTCCTCTGGAGAGTCTCTAATGACAAGTCCGCATATATTTGAATATCCATTTCTCCATACTTTATAACTGATTTTCCCTTAGTTTTCCTCCAGAGTCTGTCCCTTTGCTGTAGATCATAAAATTTTACAAGTATGTCTCTCGGCCTGTCCTTCTCATAATTCCCCTGGAGTTTCCCATTTCTAGAGATTCTTTCTATATTAGTCCTTTCCATTTCAGAGTTTTCCATTATATAGTTCAGTATTTTGCAGACCATCTCTTCCAGTATTTCTCCCTTTAATCTTTCTGGTACCCCTCTTATCCTTATGTTTCTCCTTCTTTCTCTGTTCTCTTGAATTTCCGCCTTATACTGCAATTTTTCCTGAACTTTTTCCATGTTTATTATCTTCTTCTCTAATTCGGAAATAATCTGGGTCTGATTTTTAACTTTCTGTTCCGTTTCTTCCACTCTTAACAACAACTGCCCCAGATCGTTCCGAATATTTACCATTTCTTGTTTTATTGTTCTCTCCAGATCTTTAAACATTTCTGTCATCTCTTTTTTATTTGGAATTTGTAGATCTTTTTCTATCTCTGATATTTGTTGATTGCTAATGTCCAATTCTAATGTTTGTTTAGGACTGCTTTGCATACTTAGATCAGATTCTCTATCTTTTCTGCTTTGGGGTCTTTCTGGGGTCACATTTCCCTTGGATGTATACTTTTTAATTGTTCCCGTTTGGGTCCCTTTAGGCCCAGTTCCTTTTGTACTTTTATTTTTCATTTCTTCTGTAACTTTTAATTTCTTCTCATAGACTTATACTTTACAAACAAGGGAATTAATAAGGTGTAGAGGTAGAATTCCCAGCTCTATCTTCCCACCTTTCTATGCTCCTTTGGCTGCGCTCTTCTCCTTATTTTTATTGTTATTCTCTGGGGGTCCCCCCCTTTTCTCTCTCTCCCAGCTCTATACAGTTTGTTTTTTTTTATTTTTATAATTAGAGCCTCCGCCAGTCTCACTCACCCATCCTGCGCTTCTTGTGAGACAGCTCCAGGCTCCACTCTCCAGCTTCCTCAATAGGTTGGCTCTCTTCCTCTCAGGGGGACCCTCCAGGACTTCCTCCACTCTCTTCTGCCTTGTTGGTCCGCTGGTCGGGGAAGCCCACCATCAATCCCCTGCCAGGGCTCCAGAGGCAGCAGGTGTCCGACCAAACGGGGATCCCTCCTGCTCTCCGTCAGCCTCCGGCCGGGCGGCCGGCTTCCTTGCCTCCCAGGGATGCACCGCGGCCCGTCACATGTCCCGGCCGCGCCTCCCTGTCTCCCGGCACCCCAACTCGGCGTCCAGGCTCAGCGTCCTCTCCTCTCTCACCGCAGGCAGCCGCTCAGCAACAGAAGCCAGCAAACCCCCCAGACAAGGTAGGTCTCTGGCTTCTAAGGCTCCATCTCCGTGGGGGGGAATTTTTTGAAGTTCAAGGGGGGTAGGTCGGAGGAGCCTCGTGCGGGAGCTCCTACCACGAACTCTCCGCCGCCGCCATGGTCAGGCTCCGCCCCCTCCATGACATGCACATTTCGACCGGCTGAAATTTTATTGAATCCATTTTTCCTTCTACTCGTGAGATGTTCCCTGTGCCACTGGCTGCAACACAACCCCAAAGCATGATTGATCCAACCCCATGCTTAACAGTTGGACAGAGGTTCTTTTCATTAAATTCTGTGCCCCTTCTTCTCCAAACGTACCTTTGCTCATTCTGGCCAAAAAGTTCAATTTTAACCTCATCGGTCCACAGAACTTGTTTCCAAAATGCATCAGGCTTGTCTATATGTTCATTTGCAAAGTTCAAATGATTTTTGTGGTGAGGACGTAGAAGAGGTTTTCTTCTGATGACTCTTCCATGAAGACCATATTTGTACAAGTATCTCTTTATAGTGGAATAGTGTACCACAACTCCAGTGTCTGCCAGATCTTTCTGGAGGAATCGTGCAGTCAAACGTGGGTTTTGAATTGTTTTTCTCACAATCCTGCGAGCTGTTCTGTCTGATATTTTTCTTGGTCTTCCAGATCTTGCTTTAAGTTCCACTGTTCCTGATGACTAGAGATGAGCGAATCGAACATGACGAAGTGGAATTCGTTCCGAAGATTTGGAAAAATTCTATTCGCGACGAATCCGAAGATTAGCAAACTTCGGATGCACGAATCGAATTTTCCCAAAAATGGCGGCGACATGTGTGGCGACGGAGGAAATGGACAGAGAAGATGGGGCGGGGATCTCTGGGAAGGCGCGCAGACAAGGCTCGCTGACCCATAATGCATTCATGACATGTGATCGCATTAGCCAATTAGCAGCCAGCCAGCACTGTGTAATGGTGGAGCTATAAATGAACAGCTCATGAATTGCTTTCTATATGTGTCGCCTTTGAGGCCGCTGGCTGGGCAGCTGATGAATTGATTTGTATATATGTACTTATTGTCCGCTGTCTGGACAGCTCATGAATTACTTTTTGTATATAGCCTTCCAAACCACTCTCAGAATAAGTCATGATATTCATGCTGTGTATAGCCTTATAGGCCAATGGTCAATCAAGTCATGATTGTTATAGTGTGTATAGCCTTATAGGCCGCTGTCTTTACAACTTTATAATTCCATGCAGTATATAGCCCTATCGGCCACTTTCTGGCATCCAGTTGCTGTAGCCCCCATCACCACACTGTGCCATGGGCCCCTGTACCGCCTTCTCATACTGCTGCCAGATCCATCCTCTGCCATGTGCGTCTTTGTCATCTGCTCACGCTGCTTGGTTCCAGTTTTAAACCTAGGCCTGCGTATGGCTTCCGAATACTGCTGCCTCCACCGCCACCCTGCGCCATGTGCCTCTGTCGTCTGCTCACGCTGCTGACGGCTTCCGCTTTTTAAACTAGTCCTGTGTATGTCTTCCGAATACTGCTGCCTCCACCGCCACCCTGCGCCATGTGCCACTTTCGGGTCTCCTCACACTGCTGCCAGGTCCATACTGATTCATGGCTCCCTGTACCGGCTCCTCATGAACGTGGTTCAGCGGGTTTGCATCACTTAACGGCAAATCGTTGACAAACGCTGGGACGTTCAGTGTTGTGCGCATTAAGCCAGACACCAAAGGGCAGCACAGACCTGTTATTACTCGCTCAAGCATGGCTGAACAAAACCAGTCTCTACCACAAATTGGACCCAGACCTGCCAAGGGTCTCGTAACTAGATTGCACGGAGGAGTAGAGTCCGTTATTGGAATTTAATAGACAAAACGCCACACCAAAAAGAGTGGCCATTTCCAACACTTATTCCAGAAAGAGGAACAACCCGTTTCATATACGGCCCGTAGACGTTTCACGTCTGCCACATTCAGTCGACTTAAGACGCAAGCTCCACTTCCTGTGGTCTCTGACCGTCGATATACCTTTAAGTGTCAGCTTTGAAGCTATATTCCCTCCGGAGCACTGACACTGGTGCCCTTCCGTCAACATGCCTTTAAGTTTCAGTTTTCAACCATATTCCCCACAGAAGCCAAACTCTTGGGTATCCCAGAAGCTGCTCAGCGGGTCCCGGATCGCCACTCAGCCATTGGACTCTTGATAGTCGTCTCCCCACACTGCTGCTGGGGGGACTTTTTAACCTAGGCCTGTGTATGGCCTTCAATTGAAGCTGCTTCCGCTCCGCCACTCTGCCATTGGACTCTTGATAGTCGTCTCCCCACGCTGCTGCTGGGGGGACTTTTTAACCTAGGCCTGTGTATGGCCTTCAATTGAAGCTGCTTCTGCTCCGCCACTCTGCCATTGGACTCTTGATAGTCGTCTCCCCACACTGCTGCTGGGGGGACTTTTTAACATAGGCCTCTGTATGGCCTTCAATTTAAGCTGCTTACGCTTCGCCACTCTGCCATGGGCCCCTGTACCGCCTCCTCTTGCTGCTGCCAGGTCCAGAGTGTGTCATGGGTCCCTGTACGGCCTCCCATTGCTGCTGACTTCATCGCCAGACTCTGCCATGTGCCACTTTCAGGTCTCCTTACACTGTTGGTGGGTTCCATTTTGTGATAGGGTGCTGTATGGCCTTCCATTGCTGCTGCATCCACCGCCACCCTGCGCCATGTGTCTCTGTCGTCTGCTCACGCTGCTGACGGCTTCCGCTTTTTAACCGAGGCCTGTGTTTGGCTTCAGAATAATGCTGCCTACACCGCCACCCTGCGCCATGTGCCTCTGTCGTCTGCTCACGCTGCTGCCAGGTCCATACTGATTCATGGCCCCCTGTACCGGCTCCTCATGAACGTGGTTTAGCGGGTTTGCATCACTTAACGGCAAATCGTTGACAAACGCTGGGACGTTCAGTGTTGTGCGCATTAAGCCAGACACCAAAGGGCAGCACAGACCTGTTATTACTCGCTCAAGCATGGCTGAACAAAACCAGTCTCTACCACAAATTGGACCCAGACCTGCCCAGGGTCTCGTAAGTAGATTGCACGGAGGAGTAGAGTTCGTTATTGGAATTAACTGTGAGGGACTTTTAAACCTAGGCCTGTGTATGGCCTTCAATTGAAGCTGCTTCTGCTCCGCCATCCTGCCATTGGACTCTTCATAGTCGTCTCCCCACGCTGCTGCTGGGGGGACTTTTTAACATAGGCCTCTGTATGGCCTTCAATTTTAGCTGCTAACGCTCCGCCACTCTGCCATGGGCCCCTGTACTGCCTCCTCATGCTGCTGCCAGGCCCGTAATCTGCCATGGGCCCCCGTACCGACTCCTCATGCTGCTGCCAGGCCCGTAATCTGTCATGGGCCCCTGTACCGCCTCCTCATGCTGCTGCCAGGTCCAGAGTGTGTCATGGGTCCCTGTACGGCCTCCCATTGCTGCTGTCTCCATCGCCACACTCTGCCATGTGCCACTTTCAGGTCTCCTCACACTGCTGGTGGGTTCCATTTTGTCATAGGGTGCTGTATGGCCTCCCATTGCTGCTGCCTCCACCGCCACACTGTGGCTCCACACTCTGGTTTTGGCCCCGTGACTGCCCAAATGAGTGAAGTGTGCGGTGGTTCTAAGATCGACGGCACTCATCTGCATGTCATACTGACTGACAGTATTATTTCTCTTCCCCAGCAGACTCCAAGGGCATTTAAATTAAAGGTACAGTGTTCTGCACTAATATAAAGGCTCTCTGAAGCCTAGAAACACCCTTTTTATAAGTTAAATTCGCAGCGAATATATTCGGCTCGAAGCGAATTTATTCGGCGAATTCGGCGAATCAGCCGAACCGAATTTTTGAATAATTCGCTCATCTCTACTGATGACTGCCATTTCTTAATTACATTCCGAACAGAGGACATTGACATCTGAAAACGCTTTGCTATCTTCTTATAGCCTTCTCCAGCTTTGTGAGCGGCAACTATTTTCAGTTTCAATTTTCTAGACAACTGCTTAGAAGAACCCATGGTGCTGATTGTTGGGGCAAGGTCAGACGAGTCTGGGCATTTAAAACCTTTGAGATTGACATAACCTGGTCTTCCCAGATGATGATTGAGAACAATCCATGACACTGGCAGGTCTCAGCTTTGCAAAGGGGGCAGTGCATGCTATAAATTCTGCAGGGTGCCCAAACTTTTGCAGACGCCATTTTTTTGTTTTCTGTTATTGTAAAGTGTAAATGATGGAAATAAAATCTAACTTTTGTTGACATATTATAAGAATGTCTAATCTGTAATTTGATGCCTTTTGGAGATTTTTCCATCTTTCCTTGGCTTCTTTATGCACATTAATACAAATTTTTAGCTGGGGTGCCCAAACTTTTGATCCCCACTGTACATTACAATTTTCTTTTGGTGAAGTGACTCTTTATATCTGTTTTTCTTATGATTTTTACTGATTGAAATAGTTTTCAGGTCTCAGGAAATCCCTGCCAAACATTATTATAGCTACAGGTCCCAAAACATTTGTGTGGCCAGTAAGTTGTAGCTATAATTATAAATAAATGAAAAAATAATTTGGTGTACCTGGCATATTTGCCACCCAAGGCAGATTATTTCTAACACCCTGATAATCATTCGATAAAAATGAAACAAAAAAATAATAATGACAAGAAAAAGACATTGCAAATTGTGCTGTCCCCTCACATTTGTTGTCAGAGATGAAAGTCCCCCTACATTGGGGGTCAGAAGAAAAGAGTTCCATATATTCATTGGGAAAGGCCCCCCCCCCCCTACATTGGTGATCATTGGTAGAAAGGGCCCCCCATATTGGTGGTAAATGGATGAAAGGCCCCCTTTTATTAGGGATAAGTGAAATAACCCCCCCCCCCTTAAATTGGAGGTTCATAGAATAGTGTCTCCCATATTGATGGTCAGAGTAGATGGCCACAATGTTTGGTGAAGACATGACTGATCAGTGGAAGAATGGCTTTCTTATATTAACAGTGGAAGAAGGGTCCCCAGATATTAGTGGCCAGGGAAGATGGCCCTCTTTGCATGTATGGTCAGTACAAAAATGTGTCCTATTTTGGTGGTCAGTGGAAAAGGTTCTCTACAGTGGCAGTCAGTGGAGAGGACCCCCCCTTCCCCCTTACAATAGTGATCAGTGGAAGGAGGGTCTTTGTATATTGGTGGTCACTGGAAGAAGGGTCCCGTTATTTTGGTGTTCCTTACATTGGGGGTCAGTAGAAAAGTGCCCTTTATATTGATGTTCATTACAGAAGCCCCACCTGCATTTGTTGTCATTGTAAGCCATATAAAAGCCCTCTCATACTGGTGGACAGTGAGAAAGAGCTTCATTACATTGTTGTTCAATGGGGAAAAAAAGGCCCCCTTATATTTGTTGTCAGTAGAAGGGCCCCCTTATATTGGCGGTAAGTGAGAAAGACCTCCCTTACATTGTTAGTCAGTAGAAAAGCACCCCATTACTTTGGGGGCCAGTGATAACGTGCCCCTTATATTAGTCGTCAATAGAAAAGAACGTCCTGAACTAATGTTCAGTGAAGAAGCCTTCCTAACATTGGTGGTCAGTGGAACTAGATTTTATTTTTTATTGATTGTTAGTATAAAAGTGTCCCTTTCCAGCAGCGGCGGAAACTGAAACATTTGGCATCATTATTACTGCCGCTGCTAAATGTGACAGCTTTCCCTCAGGCTTCTTAGAAAGTGAGTGAGCAGTGTCCTAACAAACATTTATTCCTGTCTAGTGCATTTAGCTGTCAGCTAGGGTATTCTGGCTGAGTGCAGGATGCAAACAAAGGAAGGTATTGAGTAAAAAAAAATAAAAATTAGTGTGCCTGTCCTCTAACTGCCATTGCTGGATCTAGAGGGGTGCTGAAGTGAGCTGCGACCTCCAGATTTCAGTTGTGCCACTGAAAATTGTAGTGTCTCATATTAGGGGTGGTCAGTAGAAATGTGTCTCCTATTTTGGTGGTCACTAGAGAAGGCCCCTATATTAATGGTCAGTGCAGAAGGCCCCCCTATACTGGAGATCAGTGAATGGAGGGTAGTCGATGGAAAATGCCCCCCTTACATTGGTGGTCAATAGAAAGATATCCCTTATATTGGTGGTCAGAGAGGAAGGACGCCCTCTACATTGTTCAGTGGAAAAAAGTCATCCTTATATTTGTGGTCAGTGAGGAAGGAACCCTTTTACAATGGTAGAGTGGAAGAATAGCCCCCTAATAATGGTAGCTATTGGAAGAAGGACCCCCTTTTATTGGGGATCAGTCGAGAAGACCCCTTTTCTTATTGGTAATCAGTGGAAGAAGAACCCCCTTATATTGCTGGTCAGTGAAGAAGCACCCCCTTACATTGTTGCTCAGTAGAGAATTGCCTCCTCTACTGAACTGATGGTCAGTGGAGAATTCCCATACTTACATTGGTGGTCAGTAAAAGAAGGCCCGCCTACATTGGTGGTCTGTAGAAAGGTCCCCTTACATTGGTAGTCAGTAGTTCCTTGTATTTGGGGCCGGTGCTAGTCTATTTTGTGCCCTAGGCAAGACCAGCTACTTGCAAACCCCCCCCCCCCCCCCCCCGCACACATACACAAATAAATACATAATTTTAAAAATAGTAGAAAATATTAAATCAACAAAACATGAAACTTTTTTTAATTTGCAAAAATAAGTACCGTAAGATGCCACCAGCACCAACATTAAAGACAAAATCAGTGTCCCGGACGGACTGTATCTGTAGCTGGCAGTGGCAGGGTGATAGTTGCAGTGAGTGGAGGATGATGGATCCACACTCTGACAGATCCCAGGCTGGAATTCCTCAGACAATGGGGGGAGATAAAACAATGTGACAGCAGGCAGGTGAACTGAGCGATCCCACACAGTGACATCCGACACAACACAACACTAGAAGAGCAGACTGTGGGATTGTGATGATGTCATCACTTACTGACACATTGCACATGTGATGGATGGCCGGCTGGCTGGGTCACACTCACACAGACATATGACATCAGAGCCAGACATCACCTTCCTCAGCAGGTGCAGCTCAGCCTCTGCTGATGAATGGGAAGAGAAGTGCTGGAAATCCACAGTAATCAGCTGCTGCCAGCTGGCTTGCAGTAAGGGACGGAGTCTGAGAGGAACACTGCAAGGAGTGGCAGATCCGCTGCTACACTGGCCCCAGACACCTAACATCTTCCTCTGTCCTTTCTTCCTCCCCTCTGCCACGCTTCCCCTCAGCTGAAGGATCATTCATGACATGGCCGAGTCCCCCACAGAGAGAGTGCCGGTCTGTGCTGCGCCCAGGTGCCCCAAGGTGGCAGTGCACCCTAGGCGGCTGCCTAGTTTTCCTAGTGAAAGCACCGGCCCTGCCTGCAATGATGGTGAGCCCTTCCCTTTTTCATTGGTGGTCAGGGTAGGAAGGGCACCCATATATTGGTGGTCAGAGAATACGCCCCCCTTACATTGGTTGTCAGTAGAAAAGTGCACCCTTATACTAATGGTCAGTGGGAACAAGGGATCACTTACATTGGTAGACAGTTGAAAGAGGAATGCACATTACAGTAGTGGTTTCATTTGTGGTTAGTCAAGGAACCCCTAGAAACCACTAAAGGAACCCTGAATGACAGGCTGCTTTACATGCTTAAGCTGGCTCTGGGCATGCAGAAGCCCTTTTAATAGTACT